CCCCAAAACCCCAAAACCCCAAAACCCCAAAACCCCTAAAATAATAAATATAATTGAAAACAAGAATTTGAGCAATGGAGAAAATGGAGATTGAGAAATGAATTTATGTAACTATTTTATTAACCTCTACAGACTAAATTCACTTATAAAGCTTTCAGTACCGGTCAACTATTTTACGAAATTCTTGAAAAGAGGGAGAAATGGATCCAACAGCAAGTTTCATTTAATACATCTGAGAAATGAGATTTGTTATGGGCCAAAAACTCTAAATTTAACGAAAAAGAAATTTTAGACAAATTTATCGTCATTAACTATATCCCCAAGATCAGTCAGATTCTTGAAAGTGATTTCATCCAAGGAGCAATTCTTAAAATTCTAAATTTTCAGAAGAGCTCTTATAAAAACAAAGGTAAAATTTACTAAAAATCTACTTCTCCAATCTCTCCACGCCCAATTAACTAACCTCTCAACTACACCCCCAATCCCACCCCTAACATCACATTCCACCCAATTTAGACCAAACCAAAGAGTCCAGCCCTAAGATCCATCCCTTCTACCTCTCCAACTTCAAAACCCCCACAAAACTCCTCACAGGTACCCCACTCCCTCCCCAAATTTCTACCCACCCCACCCACCCCTCCTTCCTAACATCCCTCCTGCAGACACCACCTACATTCCAAATCCACCCCAAGATTACGACACTGACTGAAACATCAACGTTCTAAAAGATATTTATAAATACAATAGTACTGTTCGGGGTTACGTTTAGACTCTTTCTGAAGAATATCGATGTTTGTTATGGTTAATAAGTGAAACTTTGAAGATGCATATGTGTTTGGAGAACCCATGCTTGACCTCATAATTGATTTACCAGATACTCTTTCTAAATTTTCAGAGAAGGTATCTTTCCGGAAATTTTTAAACTACTTATGAAGTAAGTCGAGCATTCTAAAAAATTCACCCTAGCAGGGAAAACTAGTCCCAAAGATGTTTCTATTTTAAACAATCATCTTTGACAGCTATCAGCTACTATTACTTTATATAGATCTTAGGGAAAAAGATGATCCAGAAGTCTTATTCCAGAAATTGTTCTCAGATTTTTGAAAATAAAATTGCCATTACACTTTTATCCATTTGCTGCTATATGAATGAAATCAAGCTAAAGCATAAATATGTTCAAATATTTACCTTCCAGTTTGTGCTAGACAAGAGCCTTGATGCCTATTTAGTCGATGTTATAGCAGGAGTCAATATGAATTCAATGGGCCAAGTTGATGACAAGATCAGAACAGGAGTTATTAATGGAATGCTCGACCTTATTGAGCCCTATATTGAAAAAATTAGAACAGAGATGCTAGCAATACCTTCTCTTAAGATTGTTGTACCAAGAACGCCTTCTAAGCCATTTCAGATGAGGAAGAAGAAATCTAAATAAACATATTCGGATGATTGGCCAAAAAGTTAGCTTGCCAATTTCTAAATAGCAAAAATGCTGATCTAAATTTAATAAAGAAAAATAGCGATGATCGATTTTCAACTGCAAAAATTCAACCACTTGGATCCTTCTCAGAAATGGTCAAGCAAAGTTCCTTAACCATTTCTCGCAATTCAACAAGGTTGGCTCTATCTAAATCTTTTAGACAAAGATCTACAATTAATGGTTCACTAGGTCACAAATAAGCCAAGGATTTTAGTAACACCATTTCTTAAGAAAGAAGAAAATAAGGAGAGCCAGAACTTCTTATCATCAACGATTACCAAATCACCGGCTAGATCAAAAACAAGCCAAACAGCTTATGCTCCGAAGAAGAGCGAAGGGAAGTCATATTCTAGCTTCACCAGAGCTTTCTTAAACCACATCGTTAAGAATATCGACAATGTCAATTTTGATAAGATGCCACAACAAGACCAAAAGCTTGATGAAAGTGAGCAACGAAAGGCGGATTTATTAGAAAACCAAGAGAAGAGTAAAAGATTTGTTGAAATGGTGAAGAAGGTAAGCCTATCCGCTATCTTTCTAGCTTGATTTAAAGAACCACTGAATTGATGAAGAAGACCAGAAAATCAAGAACAAAATTCTTAATAGAGTCTCCAGTGCATACTCCCCAGTCAATACTCCTAAAATTTTGAAAAAGTAGAGTATACAATTGACATTTAGCCGACCTGAGTCAAATCTTGACAAAGTAGAAGTAGAGTAAGCCCAAGTAGGTTATTTACAGAAATGATAAAGCGATTCATTCTGAGATCAAGAAATATTGTAAGGTTTCTAAGAAAAGACATATAGCAATCTCAGAAACGTACAAATCTGCGTTCCATTACTATAAGAAAAGAAACAGAGGAGTTCTAAAGTTCATTCAGCAGCAGAATGATCTTGAAAATGGGTGTCTCATTGGAGACCTTACTGACCCTCCTCCACCAAAGACGGCTAGGTATTCCCTAAACCTAACTTCTAGGAACGAAGAGTCTAATTGGAACCCTTTCAAAAAGAAGACTAAGATTCCTTCTGAATTTCTATTACTTAACGAATACCCAGAGGAACATGATGAGATGGATACGAAACTTTTTTACTTGCGAGAGATAAACAACTATATTAGAAAGGGAAGGCTGCAGAAATTTATTAATTCAGACCAGCTATTCTCTGTCTATAAGTAACTTACTTCCTTAACCTTATCTAGGAGCGAAGAGACTGATGTGTTCGACCACAAGATCTCAGAGCTAGGATTTAAAGCCGCAATGGAATCATTAATGAAAAAGCACAGTGTCAATATAGACAGATTTATTGAAAGATACAACTATTTTTCACACCCTAAAGAGATAGTCAGAGAGATATACCTAGCTATTCAGGACCCTGACCGAAATAAGAAAATTTTAGAATCCCTCGGCATGTCTGAAAGTGCATATGACTTTTCAGCAATGAAGAAGTTATTTAAAAAGAAAATTGTTAATAAGGGGCCACTTGGAAGAGCCCTGTCTACTTCAAGAAGGACCATTAAAGAGTAATTCATAGCATAACTTCTAGACCTGAGATGCTGATTGAAGAGCTTAAGAAGAAGTTCATTTTAAGAAATATTGACAAACGAACATCCCATCAGAACTATACTCATAGAAAAAGTGCTATTCACTCTGGAATAAAGGATGCTTGGGTGAAGAGCAGTGATTGTATAGTTTATGAATAATTTTTAGACCTCAGCCCAGATAGTATTGCTCCAAACACACCTAAGGCATCCTCACCAAGATTTGTTCCAAAGATTGCTAAGTCTTTTTCTCCCTCATTATCTACTAAGAAGTCTACTAAGGCCAAGATGAAATGGCAAATCGCTAAAAATATGCTTAAATTTGAGGGAAAGAATGAAGAAGATGACTCAATGAAATCAATGTTCAAAGATCTAGGCAAAAAGGGGAAGTTATCCGATGTAATCAGTGTTCTTGGTATGCTCTTTAATAATATCTCTAGTCATGAAGATCAAACTATTCAAAGAATCACAGAAGAAGAATATGCAGATGATGGATGAACCTGAGCTTAAATATGCTAGATACTACAAATTAATGCCCACAGGTGAGGGTATAAAGGAGAACATCAGACTTATAACAGAGAGTAACGTTGATACCTTCTCTGGTGAGAAAACCATTGAGGAAAGTTTCCAGATCCTGCTCAGTGCGATTAAAAAGCATGACTACAAGATGGAGTAATCCCTAATTACTTAATATTTATAATAAATCTGAGCTGCTTCTTTGCCAACATTTTTATTTATTTTGTAAATGGGTGAAGTTTTATAGAAAAATTCAAGATTTTAAGCAAATTTCTGAAATTTTTGATAAAAATTCTGAGTATTCATGGAGCAATATGGAGAATACGCTTAGAAGAGATGAAGGAATGGAAGTGTGAGTAAGGACAGTTTACATTAAGCTAGATTTCTTTATATACTACTTGAGTACTTGTATGAAATTTTGAATTAAGTAACTTTAGTTTTTGGGGAGTATGATTTTGGCAAAAATGTGTGGGAATAGCTTACTGACCCTGATATCGGAAGTTATATTAGTACGTATTTATACTAAAATATCTTAAGATTTTGTAGAATCTCACAAAGAGTCAAGTTCATCTACTTTAATAGTTCATAAATTCTTAACTTATTTTGTTTTTATCCCTTACATGATTCTAGAACAGAACAAAACTGTCATGAATTAAACTTGTCTATAATAATAGTAACAACACTATAATCAAATTCCATCAATATTTGCTAACCCAAAGGGGTTTTGGGGTTTTGGGGTTTTGGGGTTTTGGGG